GCCAAGGGAGAGGGGCGGCACCTGCGGCAATTCAGGGGTGGCAGGTCCCTCACTCCCTCTAGGAGCAAAGGACCTGCCGCTGAACTGCCGACGCCGATCGCGGTTTTTTTTTTTGCTTGGGGCAGCAGAAATGCTGGAGCCGGCCCTGGATGCAGCGTAGGGGTTCCTGACCTGCTGTGCATCTGCTGGGAGCTCCAGACCCCACAGTGCCAGAGGCTGGGGTTTAAACACCTTCAAAAGGAGCTTTCACTCTCTCCTCATCCACACCGGTGCTGCATCCTGGGGCCCTCTAGCTACAGGGGCTGGCTGTGGTTCTCTCCCTACTGTGCTGAGTGCTGGTCAGAAGAAGGTGACTGGAGATCAGCATAGGGAACCATCTCCTCTTCCCCACAGTGCCCCCACACACACACATTCACAGGGCTCCCCAGGGGCCCAGGGGAAGACTGGGAGCTCCTGGGGGTTGGGTAAGGCACCACTGTGAGATGGTGTCCCAAGGCAGCTTTCGCACCATGTAGGCAGACCCCAATGCCATGTGTGTGGGGGCGTTCCACATACCCACGGCATCACCATTCTCACAGGCCCTGGGCTGGCTCTGAGTCCTGGGGGCTCTGAAGTCTTGACATGGCTAATTTCCTCTGTGCACCATTGTGAAATCACCAGCAGGGGGAGCCCGTTGGGTTGATAGGGTGACTTGGCCAGGCCTGGGTGCGATAACACTACAGAATGACCCATAGCAGAAAGCATTGCTCGGCAGAACCGAGAGTTCGCTGTGCGTGACAATCCCAAATTTCATCAGCCTGGAAATGATCCTACTATGGGGCCAGGACCTGCAGCAGGACCTGGCCCCAGCTCCAGGCATGAGCTAACACTGGTCCCACTGTGGAGTCTGCACATTGTGCTTAGCCCAGAGCAGGCCAGGAGCTGGTGAGCTGGATTGGGGGAGGCAGCAAAGTGCTGGCCTCTGGGGGGACTGGACTGAGTCAATAATCACCCTGTTCTGTTCATTCCCTCTGAAGCACTTGGAACTGGCCACTGCCAGAGGCAGGATACTGGGCTAGATGAACCATTGGGCTGACCCAGTATGGCCGTTCTTATAGGGTTTGAAGAGCTGAGCCCTGAGTTCATCCCAGGCTGAGAGAGGTCTGGAGAGGAGCGAGTATCCCAGAACTGGGCTGCTCACACCAGCTCACAGGCCCTCCACATGGCCCGCCCCATGCGGCATGTGGCCTGGCAGCAACACGGATACGAGATGATGCATGGCCTGGCACTGATTCTTTATGTAGCGGAGCCATGCGCTGGGCACTATGCTGTCCCTGGCTGGAGAACGGGAGACGAAGGGTACCACCATCCTGGCAACCAGAGAGGAGAGCCAGGGAGAGAACAGATGAGGAAAGGGAGTCTCCTGCCCTCTCTCAGACCACAAAGGGACCCCTGGGTGGGTTGGGGCAGGAGGCCTGTGCCCTGAGCCACTGCCTGAACTCTGGGAAGGAGGAAGCTGTAGACCCCTAGTTCCTGCCCCTCACTTCCTCTCCTGGCTCCTGCTCTGCAGGCTTTGGCAGGGGAACTGGAGGGCAGCCTGAGTAGCTGAGGGACCATGGCTGCACGCAATCTCCATCAGAAGGGGCAGGGCTCTCTGCCCCCAGATGCCTCTGGCCTGTCTGCAGGGAAAGGTGCCAGGCTGAGAGTTTATAGCCTGGGCAGGGCAAATGCCCCCGCCGAAAGCCCACCCCGCACCAATGGGCCTCAGAGAGCAGTACGGGGCCAGGGTTCCCTCTGCTGGGTTACCAAGAAGGGGCCAACAACCCAGCCTCGGCCAGTCCTGCTGCCTGCGCCCCCCTGCAGGAGAGCCCCGCTGGCCCGAGCCCCCCGCCCCGGTACTCACGGGCGCACTGCAGGCTCTTCCGGGGGCCTCCCCAGACGAAATCTCCACACAAGTCACACCAGGTCTGCTGGCCGCGGGTGCAGGGCCGGAAGGCGTGGCCCTCGCCCAGCTGGCCCGTCAGCCGGGGGTCGCTCTGCCCGCCCAGCAGGCGGATCTGCCGCACGCGGCTCAGGAGCTCGGGCACCTTGCCGGGCGTGATGCGTAGGGCGTTGGTGCGCTCCAGGCGCACGGGGCGCTCCGGGGTGCCCCGGGGCTCGCGAGTCAGGTCGATCCGCTTCTCCAGCTCTAGGTTCTTCAGCTCGATCATCTCCTGGGCTGTGGCCATGGCCCCGGCGGGGGAGCCCAGGGCAGAGCCCCTCCGGCGATGGCACTGGGGTGGGGGAAGCCTCAGCGCGAAGCCCGGCCTCCGGCCCTCCCTTCCTCCCTCTGTCTGCCTCGCTCCCCTTTTCAGCCCGCCCGGCTCTTTCCTCCCCGCCCCCTGGGTTTGAACGAGGCGCAAACTCCGCGCAGACACTGGCTGGGATCAAAGCGAAGGTCCCGCCGGCTCCTGGCTCTCCTCGGCCGGGGCACGTTGCCCCAGCATCGCTCAGCGTGGCCGCTTTGTGCTGGGGGGGGGGGTCCCGGATTCTCCTCCTTGTTCATCTCGCTCCGTCATACAGGCGGAAACACCCGCGCCCCCACCCCACAGCGGCTGGGTCTGCGAGCGCAGCAGCCCCGGCTGTACGCCCTGGGCTCCTGGAATTGCTGCCAGCGCCTCGGAGCGCCCGAGGAAGGAAGGACCGGGCGGGAGCGCGGGGCAGATTCACGCTGAAACCTTGTGGGCCGTGGGGAAAACTCTCCAGGCAAAGTGTGTGTGGGGGGGGAGACTTGCTGAGCGGAGAGCGCAGAAAATAACGCCGCGGGCAGCAGGAAAAGCGGTGCCCGGCTGCCCTGGTATCCCAGCGCGCCCCCGAGGCTGCAGTGGCAGGATCGGGCCCCCCGGCCCGGCTGGAGGTTCATTTCCTGCCGTTCCTAGAGCGATGCCCGCAGGCCTGCGCCCGGCGTCCGCACTGGGGAAGGGGTGAGAGCGGGCGGGGGCCCCTGAGAGAGAAACCCCGAGCTGCTTGGAGCCCTTCGGAAAGCTGGCTGAGGGGAGTGGGCTGGGCGCTGACTCTTAACCCTTTGTGGGGCAGGGTCCCTGCCGCCGGCCTGGGTCAGCCCCATAGAGGTGGTGTCCATGGGTACAGCAGAGGGGTCGGGGGCAGGACTGGTAGGTCTGGTGATTCCTGGTTGGGGGTGAGGGAGACTGTGGGTCCGTGGTTAGAGCAGGGCAGTAGGCGTCAGGGCTGGTGGGGTCTGTTACCATCTCTGGGCAGGAAAGGCTAGTGGTTAGCGCGGGGGTGGAGACTGGAAATCAGAACTCCTGTGCTGTTCCCAGGTGTGTGTGATCTAGAGGTTAGAGAAGGGGACTGGAAGTGTGGAGTCCTGGGTTCTGCTCCCAGCTCTGAGGGAGTGGGATCTAGTGGGTCGAGCAGGGAGCTGGAGACTCCTGGGTTCTGCTCCCGGCTCTGACACTAACCTAATGGGCAATCTGGTGCAAGTCATTTAACCGCTCTGTGACTCATTTTCCTCCCCCGTACTAGCCTTTACCTCCTATGGATGGGGTCTAATAACTAATGAATACAACCCTACAAAATGCCATGCTGAGCAGGGATGAAGGGGGGAGGTATTTCAGCGCCATTTGGGGCTAGGGGCTCTATTCCATGGTCCGTGAAACTGACCAGACTTCTCTGAAAAGCATCAAGCATGGACAAAGCCAAGTGACATGGCAGCACCAGAGCCTCGCTGAAGATTCGGCTCAAAGGCATAACCGGGTCCCAGAGGTGGCTCCAGGGGAAGTTATAATGTATAAACGACAAAGTAACAAGGTTGGGTTGATTGTCTATGGGGGCAGTTGGTTCTGAAGTGAATAGTGTCTACCCCTCAGTGCGGCCTAATGATGAGCACCCTGGACTGGGACACAGTATTCCCAACTCTGCCACTCTGTGCCTTAGTTTCCCCATCTGTAAAATGGGGATAAGGATATTGCCCTCCCTCGGACAGGGGAGAGCGATGGCTGACAAGTTCTGTGTATTGTTCTTCCCTTCCTCTAGTGGCTCTTCTCCTTGATCCCTGCTGCTGCTTGGTCTCAGCTGCTGGGGGGTTGGTACATCTTCTCGCTTTGATGTGTCACACAACCACTCCAATAAAGATCAACCTTATTCAAGAAGGAGTCTCTTTGTTACAAGGGCTGGGTGAGGCTCTGACAGGCGGTAAGGCAGGAGGGCCACAAATAAAGAAATCTACCCCAGTGCACTCTTCATAGGGCAAGGGGTGGTGCAGAAATCCACAGAGGGCAGCCAGTGAAAGCAGGGCATCCCATGTGGAGATTCACCTGGTCTCTGTGCCCAGACAGGGACAGAGATGCCAGTTAGTGCAGACATCTCCCCCTCCCCACCCGGTGCTTGTGCCCAGTGAGGGACGGAGATGCCACTCAGTGGAGACTTCCCCTGGTAGGTGAAGGCACTGCTGCTTCCAGTTTCCAGCACTGCAGGGTGAAGGCAGAGGCAGCCCTGGCTAATGGTGCCAGCATTGCCCTGGCATGCCGCTGAGGGGCAGAGCAGCTCGGCAGCCCCCAGGGCAGGGAGCAGAGTTAGAGCCAGACAAAAGTTATGTACAGATGCTTTAGCCTATTCCCAGTAAAGCCTCCAAGCAGGCAGAGGGCAGCATCCCTCCTGGCTGGAGGAGAGGGGGCAGGGCAAGGGGAAAGAGCAGGATGCCCTCACCCTGCTCTGACCCACTACCATCTTCCAGAGGAAAATGCCCCTGGCTAGCACAGGAAGCCCATAGCCTGAGCTAGGGAGCCCCTGGCTTTACCAAGTTCAATCCCAGCTTGTGGCAGCAGGACCCCCCTTCTTCTCCTCACCTGTACTGCAGAGCTAGGGAGTGGCCCTGGCCCTTTACTAGCTACCGTCTCCTGCCCCCTGCACTCCCCAATAGGATGCACTGCTGCAGCCTCCCTCCTCCGTACACTCATGCTGGAAGTTCGAACTGTCCACTCCAAGCCAAGAAGCTCCTTGGGAATTCAGCAGCTGGGCTCTCTGTGCCATCCCTCCCAGGCCACCTGAGGAAGACAGCTGGCCCCAGCCCAAGCAGGGAGCGTGCCTCAAAGAGTGGATGATATCCCAGTTTGGACAGGGTACTTCATGCCTGAGAAAAGCTGGAATGAAGCAGGCCACAAAGAGGAATAGGACCAGAGAGGTGACCTATCATCACTGAGGCCCAGCAAAGAGAGGAAACAGCAAAGCTGCATGTGGATAGAGGGAGCTGCCTTGGGAGGGGGCCCACCCCGTAAGGGGAGCTGGGCTTAGCCCCACTTTTAGCATGAAGATCAGCAGATTCTCCTGGGAGCCAGCAAATAGCTCAGCTGTGAGTTAGAGCTGTAGGAGGTTCCAGTCCCCATGTGACCCCGCGCAGGCAACCTATGGTGTGTCATCCCACAGAAGGGAACAGAGATGCCCACCTCAACTCCCAAGAAGACAGCCTCTGGAGTGAGTCCTGCAGGGAGTAGACTGGCCCTTGCAGAAGATCCAAGCTCAGGGGGGAAGGGGCATGTTTGACATACTGAACTTGGGTCCTTTTGAGGAAATAAAACAGGACTGGGCTCTGTGGCTGGCACATTCTTTGGTGCACGGGCTGGTGCAAGAGCTCATCAGCTTACACACAGCCCCTGGCATGATGGGTGGGATGTGGAGGATGTTTCCAGCTGCCCCTTCCTCTTGCCACCGGCCCAGTTAAGACAAACAACTTCCAGTGTCAGTGAGCTAGCCTGGAGTCCAGCACAGGCAGCTGCATCTCCTTGCCCTGCAGGCACTCCCAGAACTGATTGGATGGGGGGCGGGTGATTCATTCAGTCCAGGGCCCTGCTATAGACCAGTTTTTGGGGACAAGGACACTGATCCACTAGGACAGTGCTTCCCCACCTTCCTCACTCTGGCTGATGAGAGGGGGAAGAAGAGGACAGAGAGAAGCAGAGGAGGGAGAATTTGGCCCATAAAGTCACTCACTGAACATAAGTACCTCCAGCTGATCTGGGTGCTGGAATCTTATCCCCATCCCCAAACCCTGGTGCTGCTCCAGCTGCTGAGAGGTCAGGCTAGCTGCATCTCAAGTCCAGAACTTCTTGTTGCCGGTGGTCACCATGGCATCGCAGTACAAAAACAACAGTCAGCTGTAAAGACTGTCTGGTTTCAATGGAAAAAAATCAAGCCAGAGAGATGGGTGGACCCAGGCAAACCAGAGGAGAGCGTCCCAGGGGCACTGGTTGTGGGTTCTTGCTGGCACTAAAATAGAAATGAAGAGATCCAAAAATATCCCAGCGAGAGTCTAAAATCGCTCCCAGGAAGAGCCATTTCTGGGGCGAGAGTCCCAGGGAAAGGTTAACGTTTAGGAGGAGTTTAAAAGTCAGCACCAGTTCAGGAAGAACAAGAATAAAAGGCAATTTCCCTCTCTCTCCATGTGTTCTTGGCCTGATACATCCAGGCCTCAGAAAGATTAGTTCCCTGTGACCAGACTTCAAACTTTACAGTACTAACCCGAGGTATTAAAAACCCCCATGCAGGGCTGACACAGGGGATAAAAGAGTGTTAGCTGCAACACTAAACATTTAAACACATTACTCCAGATTCTAGCTCTAGTGTAAATACAGCCAGTCCCTGGGAATCAGTGGTATTCTTTGTCCAGTGTAAATCTGGAGTCACTCCGCTATTACAGTAGGCTGACTCTAGATTTATACTTGTGTAAATGGGATCAGAATTGGCTTGAGTGTCTTCTAGACTTGCTCCCTACCTATGACATGGGTTTCAGGCTATTCTGGCCAGCTTGCATCCCACAGGCAAATCACACCAGCAAAGCCCATATTTTAGCCATGTTGGTCCCTGGTTCTCTCAATAGAGTTTTATGCTCTGTGTAAATAGGGCCTAATCCTGTAATTCATAGCACTGGAAAAGGGGGAAGCAGTTCCTGCCTTACCCCTCCGCTCAGATCAGCTTGTGTCCTGAAGCATGAGGACTGATAGCCCCAATCATTTATCCTTCTAGCCCAAGGCAGCCATTTAAATACATCACACGAAACCAGCTCCCTCACCTACGAGTGCAATTCACCAGCTGCTTTCTCATCCTCCTATAGAGGATGCAGCAAGGCCAGCCAAGACACTATCTGTTTTCTGTGGGGCAAACCAGCCCCACTGAGTTCTGCTCACAGCTAGGAGGGTGATGCAAAGCATGAATGGCAGCTGGGGCCTGATCCTGAGAGGTATTGAACATCCACCATTCCCAGTCAA